TTTTTCATCTTTGTGTCAGTCTGTATGTGCCAGTGTGTGTCTGTGTGTGTTTCTGAGTCTATGTATTTGTGTGTATGTGCCAGTGTGGGTATCTATGTGTCATGTTGTATATATGACAGTGTGTGTCAGTGTGTATATCAGTGTCGAGGACTGAACATGGATCTGTGTGTTATTAGTGTGTGTAAATAGTTGTAATGTGTTGTGTGACTGTGGGGCCCACACGGGAATGGGGGGGTGGGGGTTGGGGTGCGATTCAGATCTGTCATCGTGCTTAGGGCCCTGGTCAATATTAATCTGCTGATAAACAACATAGGAACAGCAACCAAAATTACCCGGAGACTTTGAACCAGACATAGTAGCTAATTTGATTGCATCCAGTTGCCACCTAATAGCAAATGGAACTCATGCATTAGCATTTAGGGTGCAAAGGGCCAGCCACAGGTGCCTTGGGGGCCCCAAGATTTTGTCAGACCTCTTGAAAACAGGATCAATGGCATGTAGTGGATATGATGCTTTAATTGCTTAAGGTTACTGAGCGCTCCTGCAGCTACTGTAAATTACAACGTCCTGTTAAACAGCTACTTATCTAGTGATTCCTCAATTCGAAGTTCTTACCCTGTGATTACTGCACCCTATAGGGTACAAGAACAAGCAGCGCTCTGTTACCGATTTGACGGTATTCTCATTAAGAAAAGTCATTTACGGTGAGTAGTTTAATAATTTACACATGGACTGTAAAAATTATCCTAAAACTTTTTTTTCCTAAATTGTGCTACCCTGCCCAACATTCTTCAAGTCAGGTGTCACCACAACACACTGTTTAGTGAGTACATCCCTAATTTCTGTCCTGTAACTTTGGTCTTGTAAACAAAATAAATCACAGGGTCTTTTTCACTAAACTGAGAATACATTTCAAGACAGATTAGCTGAGCTGACACCATAACTGATTTAGAAAATTTATCCAGGTCGGCTGTTCTGACCTAAAGTTTGAAATTAATTTTAAATTGTCAATTCAGTAGATAACCCCGTAAGAATTCTTCCTGTTTAAAAACAAAACGTATTTGCTATATGGCAGCAAAATAAGATTGGTAAATATAGTGATAGGGAATTCTTCAGTGTGTAAACCTGGTAGAAGTTTATTTAGGAGTAGATCAAGGTATTTGGAATTGCCAAACTGTTATATAAAATGTATCAAAGTCTTGCTTAAGGTTACTGACCATATGATGACGATTAACGGATTTGACAGCAGCTCGCTGGGAATGAGTGTGACCATTCTCCTGCAGAATTGACAAAATGGAATTCTGAGATTCTATTGCACTGAGAGAAATTAAATGATACTCACCGCCTCCTTCTATGCCGCGCTATTCAGGGATCGATGACGGTACCGCAACGAAAATATCCCTAAATGTTCGGTAGCTTGAATTACAGGAACTAAACAGAGCGTCAGACCTCCCCTCAGTGGCGTAACTATGGAGGCGGGCGGTTCATCCCCGCACGGCAAATGTTTTGTGGGCGGCAGTGGCCAGCACGCTGAGGAGGCCATCGGGTGGCCCTTGCACTTAGGGCCACCCGATGGTAATATGACCTCAGGGGCGCTTTAATAGCGAGACCAGGCCACTCTAAGGATCTCAGCGCTGGGAGGAAGTCACTTCCTCTCAGCTATCAAAGTGGAGCGCGGAAGAGCCAGAGAGAAGGGGAGATCCTCAGACTCCCAACATCCTGAGTCAGCCGACCTTACCCCAGGTCGCAGGGTGGCAAAAAAAAAAATTACACTTTGCATGTGTGTTTATTTCTGTGAATCTATGTGTGTCTGTATGTGCTTAAATACACTTTTACTGTATGTGTATACCTGTGTATCTGCGTGTCTGTATGTGTATCTATTTGTGTGTCTGTATGTGTATCTATTTGTTTGTGTGTGTGCATAGGCGTGCGCAGCCTATTGCATTAGGGTGTGCACCCTAAAGCACAAACACGCCGCACGTGTGTGTGTGTGTGTGTGTGCTGTTAGTGTGATGTGTGTGTGAGGGTGCTGTTAGTGTGATGTGAGGGTGTTTGTGTGTGTGTGTTTGTGACTGTGCCTGTGCTGTTTGTGTGTGTATGTTTGTCCTGTGAGGGTGCTGTTTGTGTGAGTGTCGTGTATTTGTGAGGGTGCTGTTTGTGTGTGTGTGTGTGTTTGTGAGGGCATATATATATATATATATGCGTACACACACTCACAGACACATTCAGACACACACTCACAGACACATACACACTCACTCACAGACACACACTCACTCACAGACACACACATACAAATTGTTATATTTTAATTAAAAACATATGTCCACCCAGCCTCCTACCTGGAGTGCTGGCGTGGACTTTTCCCTGGGGTCCAGTGGGGCGGGCGCCTCTCTGCAACTCAGCTCTGCAGCTCAGCCGCGGCGAGGGAGCTGTCTGCTCTCTGCTCCCTCTCGCCGCGCGGGCTGTCTGCTGTAGCTGGGAGCCGGAATATGACGGCTGAGCTGCAGAGAGGGGGGGGGGGTTATCCATCACCTCTTGCCTTCCCCATGACAGGGGCAAGAAGCGAGACAGGGGGCGCTGAGTGCCTGCAGGAACAGCGTTCCTGCTCAAAAAAAGTGCAGGAACGCTGTTCCAGCAGGACTCAAACCATAGGCGTGCCACGGGGATTAGGGTGTGCCTAGGCACACCCGGCACACCCCGTGCGCACGCCTATGTGTGTGTGTATCTGCTTGTGTGTGTTTGTGTATATATCTGTGTGTCTATCCACTTGTGTGTATTTATGTCAGTGTGTACATCTGTGTGTGTATACATTTTTCTGTGTATTTATATCTGTGTATTTGCTTGTGTCTGTGTGTCTGTGTATCTATCTCTTTGTGTGTATCTGTGTAGATATCTCTGTGTGTGTGTATGTCTGTATGTATATATATATATATGTATGTCTATGTATTTATATCTTTGTGTGTATCTGTGTCTGTATAGTTATGTTTGTCTGTATGTATATCTGTGTAGCTGCATGTGTCTGTATATATGTGTGTGTGTGTGTGTGTATTTGCATATGTATCTGTGTGTGCCTCTATGTATCTGTATGTGCCATTGTTTGTATGAGTGTCATTCTGTGTATGTGTTAGTGTGAATATCTGTGCATACATCTCGGCATTCAAATGCCAACACTACACACAAATACACCCAAAGCTGTTAAGAGCTTAGTGGTGTACTAGCAAAACCATTAACAGATTTATTTAACCACTCATTGTTAACAGGAGTAGTCCCAGAAGATTGGAAGTTAGTGAATGTTGTGCCCATTCACAAGAAAGGTAATAGGGAGGAGTCGGGCAACTATAGGCCAGTAAGCCTCACTTCAGTAGTGGGGAAAGTGATGGAAACAATGTTAAAGGATAGATTGTTGAACATCTAAAAACACATGGATTTCAAGATAAGAGACAACATGGATTTACTTCAGGGAGATCATGCCAAACTAATCTTATTGATCTTTTTGATTTGGTAACTAAAATTATAGATTAGGGTGGTGCAGTGGACATTGCTTACCTAGATTTCAGGAAGGCGTTTGACACTGTTGCACAGAGAAGGCTTATCAATAAACTGCAATCTTTAAGTTTGGATTCCAATATTGTTGAATGGGTAAGGCAGTGGCTGAGTGACAGGCAACAGAGGCTTGTAGTCAATGGAGTATATTCGAAGCTTGGGCTTGTCACCAGTGGGGTACCTCAGGGATCTGTACTTGGACCCATTCTCTTTAATATTTTTATTAGTGATATTGGAGAAGGTGTTGATGGTAAGGTATGTCTTTTTGCTGATGATACTAAGATATGTAACAGAGTTGATGTTCCAGGAGGGATAAGCCAAATGGCAAATGATTTAGGTAAACTAGAAAAATGGTCAGAATTGTGGCAACTGACATTTAATGTGGATAAGTGCAAGATAATACATCTTGGACGTAAAAACCCAAGGGCAGAGTACAGAATATTTGATAGAGTCCTAACCTCAACATATGAGGAAAGGGATTTAGGGGTGATTATTTCTGATGACTTAAAGGTAGGCAGACAATGTAATAGAGCAGCAGGAAATGCTAGCAGAATGCTTGGTTGTATAGGGAGAGGTATTAGCAGTAGAAAGAGGGAAGTGCTCATGCCATTGTACAGAACAGGGGTGAGACCTCACTTGGAGTATTGTACTCAGTACTGGAGACCGTATTTTCAGAAGGATATTGATACCTTACAGAGAGTTCAGAGAAGGGCTACTAAACTGGTTCATGGATTGCAGGATAAAACTTACCAGGAAAGGTTAAAGGATCTTAACATGTATAGCTTGGAGGAAAGACGAGACGGGGGATATGATAGAAACATTTTAATACATAAAGTGAATCAGCACAGTAAAGGAGGAGACTATATTTAAAAGAAGAGAAACTACCACAACAAGAGGACACAGTCTTAAATTAGAGGTACAAAGGTTTAAAAATAATATCAGGAAGTATTACTTTACTGAGAGGGTAGTGGATGCATGGAATAGCCTTCCAGCTGAAGTGGTAGAGGTTAACACAGTAAAGGAGTTTAAGCATGCGTGGGATAGGCATAAGGCTATCCTAACTATAAGATAAGGCCAGGGACTAATGAAAGTATTTAGAAAATTGGGCAGACTAGATGGGCCAAATGGTTCTTATCTGCTGTCACATTCTATGTTTCTATGTTAATACACCCCTTCATTCGAATATCAATACTTCATATAGACACACAAACATGCAGCACTAGACACAAGTACACTGCTTAGTGCTAAACACAACCCTGCAAGGATGGGCAAATGGTTGATCCACAACTGACATTGTAATGTGTGAGTAGCATGACAGATGGGGATCTACCTTTTGGCCATCCTTGCGATGGGGGGGCCCAAACAACTCTTGCACCAGGGCCCTCTCTACATTACAGCCACTGGGAAGGAGAGAACACAAAAGGGGGATGGGGTTTATCTTTTACAAACACTGC